TTAATTATGATTGAAGAGGTTACGACGATGAATGATTTGAATTATGTTTCAATGAATTAATTATGAAGAAGGGTTCGACCTCGGTGAAGTGTCATCTTCCTTGCAGAGGATGAAAATAATTGACACCTACAGTATTTTTAGTGGGGCCGCTCACATAGAAAGGAAAGAGATCTTAGATGAGGAAGAAGTTTTATAGTTTTTTTTATATGTGTGATTGTATCTTGCAAATAGCATGGATAAATTAAAAATTCTTTATACTCTCGCCATGCTCAAGGTATCAAGACTAGTTATGCAGGCCGACCTTCACGCACCCTTGGATTTCGATGGAGAATTGATTGCTTTAGTCGAACATCTAAAGTGTCTCTGGAAACACCCTGATTTTTGGTGGGTAATTAATTTCTTTAGTCGGACGCGTAAAACGTCTATGAAAACACCCCTAACTTTCAGTGGTATTTGATTACTTTAGTCGGATGTGTAACACATCTCCAATAGCACCCTTGACTTTCGATGTACCAGGCCTCGATTATGTCAATCGTACCCCGAGTTTGCGATTACTATGCACAATCACAAAAAACATTGATTTTAGATGGTATCATATTTCGTTCATCATTGCAAGACTTTCTTGTACATAAGAAAGATGAAAATACAATCATTGAATTTTAATCATAAATGGGAAAAGGAAAAAATAACTAGGAAAGATAGCTGCCACTTATTCTCTTCGCTCATCGTGGCTAGCTTAGCCACTTTTTGGAGGATGAATGCCCATCTTTATGAGTTTCTCGATGAGAGAAGCTACATTTATCTCATGGAGACATATTTTCCTTGATCCTTCTAGAGGTCTAGATATACTCTTTTCCCCCTCAAGGTCGACATTGATGGTGGTTGATTCTCTCTAGATATTGTGATACTTCAGCTGATTAGGCGACAAAATCTCACATAGCTGCAAAAGACCTTCCTAAGATGCAGTTGTAGATGCCCTTGCAAGGGAAAACAGGGAATTATGAATATACCTTTCAGGTATTTTTTCCGTCACCTACGAAGGCCACCAGCTCGACGTATCTCCAAGGACGGGTAGTTATTCCATTGAAGGCCAAGAGGCTAGAGCCTTTGTACGAACATAAGTTGTTTCTATCAAGGCCCATCTTCTCGAACAATTCTAAGTATATTATGTCGCAGGAACTGCCACAATCGATGAGGATCCAGGAAATGTCGAATTTTCTCAATGTAGTGGTGATTACCAATGGGAAAATCTTGTTAGGGGTGCCTCTCGCCTTCTCAGAGTCTCGGGATCCTAACATGGGTCAACCCTTAGTTAAACATGGAACATGAAGCGCTTGAAACATAAAGGCGTTTGGAAAAGTTCTCAAAGAAGGATTGCAAGAGCAGAAAATTACTTGAGTTTAAGATTTGTTTTCTTAAATATTTATTTGAGTACAAAATCATATATTTGAATATTTATTTTATTTATCTAATCCTTATTTTGTTTTTCTTCAGAATCAAATGCATGCAAGATCCGTAGAGAATAATCTTGAACCCAGCATTTGATCTTCCCCAAGATTTAATAATTAGAAGATCTAAAATCTAGATCTTCAGGAAATTTAATTTTTACCTAGATCTCTATGGAATCTGATTTTTATTTTAAACAATGTAATATTTTGTGTAAACAATATAATATTATGGGTAAGTAATGCAATATTCTGGGTAGACAATGTAATAATTTTTTCATAAAAAAAAAAGAAGAAATAATCTCACCCCTTGATTTTCAAGATAAACTGAGATATAAGATACACTTGTTTTGAAAGTAATAAAAGTGTCGTTTCTGGGGTTCGAACCCATGTGCATATAAATTTTCCTCTCGGTTTTAATTCCACCGAGGTGATAAGTGACTTTTCATGTCACCCTTTGTTACCTCGCTTCTTTAGCCAAGTTAATCATTTTGCGTCCGAGATAAAAAGCATTTTTCGTAATAGTGATTCCTGGTAAATTTTCTCCCGAGAAATAATCAGGGGGTGTACCTATCGTACCTTCCCTGCATACCCCGATCATGTTCCTTTCGATGCTGGTGGGACTCCTCAGGGCAAATAAAGTGGGTTTCGACTAAAGTAGGATTTTTGAAACATGTGCTCAGCTTCTCCTTCAAGAGCATGTATGACTCCGCCATGGTGAGTATCGCTTGAGGAGGTGATCCCTCAGGATGTCATTCTCAAAGATCTATCACTGAAGGTTGTCCTCAGCTCCTTCGACTTTGATGGCAACTTGTGTGAACTGATCTATGTAGAACCACAAACTTTCCTTTTTTTCCCTGGATGATCCCGACGAGGGTGACTTCAATCACCGACCTTCTTTTCTAAGTTGTGAAGCGAGTAAAAAACCGTTCATAGAAATATGTCAAAGATGCATTGCTTTCATCCGGTAGGCTATTGAACCACATCCTAGTCGATTCAATAAGAGTTAGTGCAAATAACTTGCATTTTGAGGCATCGTCGATGCTGAAATGGTTTAGCCGGTCACTTATGAGTTGTATATGCTTGTTGGGGTCTCTTTTTCCATCATATTCTCCCATCTTGGGCGGCTTCTCCATGTATATTGGGATCTTGCTTTCCATAATCCAAAGCGACAATGGATACTTTTACTACACCTTTCTTGGTTGATCTTTTACTCGAACCGAGGAAAATGAGCATGACTACCTCGGTCCCCCTAGGGCTTTAGGGAGCATTCTTATGCTTCCTCCTTCTATGCCAGTCTCTAGGTCGAGGAACTTCTTCTTTCTTCCTCTTAGACGGCTCTGGGACGACGACATGAGTCCTTTTAGACACAATCTCCTAGATGGTGTTCTCGTGAGGTTGTGCATTGTGGAGGCTTTCTTTAAGGCAGTATAACCTTCATTCGAGTGTGTGTGTGTGTGTGTGTGTTTTTTTCTTCTGAGCAATGTTATACACATTGTTCAAAAATTCATTAACACATTGCATTCCGAGGTTTTCTTGTAACACTTGAAGGTCAAGTAAGGCCTTAGGTTACAAAGTTGGAGTTGGAACAAGAGGATGGATTGGAGTAACTTGAACATATATGGATATCTGCGGAGCCTCAACTAGATACGGATGCAACAGAATTGTGGCTCCAGGATTCACAATGCCTTGCGAAGGAGGCTCAAGCAATGGATTGTTTGCTGCTAGAGTGGAACTGATAGCTTCACACGCAGTAGTGGCTTCGTGCGCGACAATATTTTGAGTAAGTTTAGATTCAACCATCACTTGAGGTTGTATACACTAGAGATCCACATATTCGAGGGATCAAACTTAAGATGATGATCAATAAAATCAAAACGCGATGAATCTTAATGTTTAATTCAGACTAATCTTGATTCAGTGACTTGAAAAAGTTAAAAACTGATGAGTCGGAGAAAGAACATGAAATCGTGGAAATCATAGGAATTAGAAGTCAATCACACCTATGACACCAATGTTCTATTTAGGAACCATAGACGAGTTGAGAAATGGTGGTGACGACGAATTAAGGTTTTTAATGCGGCAGAGTGGTGGACTTGCAATGTTAGCACTCCAAAGCTCAAGTCATTATCTGAACGAGAAAAGTAAGTTGGACTTTAATTTTATACTTGTTACCTTAATTTGATGCATTATATATATATATATATATATATATATATATATATATATATATATATATATATATATATATATATATATATATATATATATATATATATATATATATAGAGAGAGAGAGAGAGAGAGAGAGAGAGAGTAAAATAACAAACTTGTTATTTGTTAGTAATGAATTGCGGTGAGTTATTAGATGTATTTGCAGTTGAGATCCTGTGCAATCATCATGACGATGATTCTCGAATACTAAGAAGTTCTAAAAAGAATGTAGTCCCTTCTTGATGGTTAGCCGAGTCAATATTACCGACCCAAAACACATAAAATAAAATAATTAGACAAAATAAGATTCTCTATTTTTAAAATTTTAAAATATTGACGATTTCAATTCAACAAAAAAATATTAAATCAAGATCAAAGATTTAAATTAATATTCTTAAAATAAAATATATAGAAATTAAACATTAAACTATCAAGTTTTAATGGCTTAATACTCTTTTTTGGTGTCGTATCTTAACCCTCGAGGTTTATTTTGGTCCCTTAACTTTAAAAAGGTCCATGTTGATCTCTTAACTCTTCAAAACATTCCATATTAGTCATTTTTGTCTAATTAACGACGGATTTAGCGACTGATTTTTGAATTTTTCCGTCACTAATAAGACAAAAATGACTAATATAGAACATTTTGAAGAGGCAAAGAACCAATATAGACCTTTTTAAAGTTTAAGGAACAAAATGAACTCCAAAATTATGATACGAAACTAAAAAAAATATTATTCAATAAACACGTAAAAACTTCCAAATCCGATTGCACTACCTCATATATTGAGCTCAAAGTACAAATTAACATTAAAAAAACTTATTTATCCATTAAAAAAATTAGATATTATAATTTCAATCAATTAATTAATTATATTATATTTTATTAAATTTAATTATTTATTTAATAATTTCAATTTTAGAGATTTTCCATACACGGTTAACTCTATCTAACTTTTTAAAATAGGTAAATAAGAATTAAAAAAAAAAATCAATCCATAAATATTCACTTGTTTTTGACCCAAAAAGCTATCCATATAGATACACATTAGATTAATCTACTTTATGACTAGACCATCCACCACCAGTTCAACTTCCACGTCTGAATTTGGTATACAAAAATTATTTACATATTTTGAAAAGTTTTATTAGATATCTTTAGATCGTAAATAAAATTATTTTAAATTTTAAAATACTAATTTACCCTTTAAAAAATAGTTTTCACAAGGATGAATTTGTAAATGCAATCAAAGACAATGATACAATATATATAACTAAATATCTTTGAAGGCTGAACTACAAAAAAGAGTATCTAATACTATAGCTTCAAGAAGTGCTATTTCCATGTCAAACTCTCATAATTCTCTCACAAACAAACCAAAATCACGTTCATGCTTGTGCTCTCCCACTTCACATCCTGGTTCCTTTAGATGCAGCATGCACAAGAACAAGCCCCAACGATCTGTTCCTAACAACCCCTTCAAATCCAATAGCTCTCATCATTGGAATGAATCGTTGTCGTCGTCGTCTTCTTCGTCATCCCCATCTATGATTGTTAAAGTTAGTTCTTTGAAGACATTTCTCTTGCAAGTTATTAAGCCGTCTAGCCATGATGCTCATAGGAGGAAGAACTTTCAGCCTAAGCCTAGTCGGTTTTGTTTGATGAATACTAATAGAGATGTTGTTGCTGTTTCTTGATCCAATTTTTTCTTCTTTTAGTGCGCTTTTATGGGGTAAGAAATAGAGTCATTGAGGGTATAAGTAAATATAAGATTTTGAAAATGTTGTAGGATGCAAATGATAAGAAGTTTAACTTTGATTTGAAGTTTCTTAAGGAAAAAACAGAGTGGATTTTGTAAAGGATATGTATGTTTTGTTGACATATTTCATTTTTGTGGGCTGAAATTATTCTTTATAATTCTAATAATCAGGCTGTCTTACCTATGTAATTTCATTAAATTTTGAGTGGTAGTTTTGAACATCCTTATATGAGATAGGTATGTGATTTACAAAATTGGATTTATTGGACTCACTTTTATCATGTAATCACACAGTCAAACTATCCTAGCCATTCGACCATGATTAGATGACTCAAAGTAGATGGTTTAATTTTTATCATTTAATTTTAAAAAATACTAATTTAAAATTAGAACCATCCGATTTTAATCAGAAGACCACAAACTATCATTGCGTGAATGCAACGAATTTTCAAGTGCACTAAATTTAAATTTCGATCCATGATTTTCATTCTCTCAATCTCTGAATCGCATACCTATCCCTTATATCATATAGGATAATGATATCTATTGGACTTAGATCATTTCCTTTAATTTTCTTTCATTCTCTCTCCTAACTTTTTATCTCTCTTAATCTTACTTTTTTTTTCTTTATTAAAAAAGAAAAATATAAACAAGAAATAGGGAGATTGAGAGAGAAAAAGAGAATAAGAAAAGACTAAGAAAAAAAAATGAAAGAGATGATCCAAACTGATAAGATGTAACTTTCTGATTTGGTGATGCGTCAGAAAAGACAGGGTGGTAAGTGCAAAACACTTCAACACCTAAGTCATTTTTTGGTAAGGCGAGAGGTTTGATATTTTAGGTTTTCAAGAGCGTGTACGTGATTTGACGTCTATTGTCCCTTTTATAGGAATTCTATTAGGGTTTTTAATGACCCTCATTCTATAGTTTTCATCCATATTGTTCATATTACCAGATGGCGAGATATAATTCATTATGTTATCGATGGTTTATCTTTCTCTTCATTGTTTGAATCAAATGTTTTCTTTAGGGCATGTCCATGCTTGTTCTCTAGGTCCTAGATCAGTAAGAGATATTTGTCTCAAGATGTCATTATTATGACGTCATTTTGGTCACAAATATCTTCACCTTAGGCCTTTGTGACTTTCGTGGATCATTTTACATCAAGTCATCTATCAGGGTCGATATCGAGTAGGAACAACTTACATGGTCTTTCTCATATGGGGTCGAAACTGGTTTGAATCAACCGTGATCCACATCCATAGATGGGACTAATGGGCCCATTTCTTTTCTATCTGATTATCTATCTTCTAATTTTTTTTATATCTCCCAATGTATATAATAATACTTAGGGTCCAAGAGACATTAATGCTAAAGTTGTATGTTCATTTTGTCTCTAGTTATCCAATGACTTTTTTGTCTCTCTTTTGTTTGGATCATGTGTTTTCTTTACGAAATGTCCATGCTTGTTCTCTAGCTCATAAATTCTTATGCCAGGTAAGAGATATTTGTCTCCTAAAATCATTACTCTGACGTCATATAGGTCACAAATATATCTTCACGTTGGAATCTTGTGACTTTCGTGGATCATTTTTCATTAGGTCATCTACCAGGGTTGAGAACGAGTAAGAACAACTTACATGGTCTTTTTCTTATGGGGCCAAAATTGGTTTGGATCAACTGTGATCCATATCTATAGATAGGTAGCTAATGTACCAAATTCCTTTCTACATTAGATTATCTATCTTCTATTTTTTCTATCTCTCTCAAACTACAGAATATCATTTAGGTGTCTAAGAAACATTAGTGTTTAACTTGTATGTTTTTGTTGTCCCTAGTTTTTTTTTCTTTAAAATACATTGTGTGATTATCCAAAATCAAACCATTTAAACACCAAGTTAAACCTGTAATACTCTAAAATTTTAGTATTTTAACTTTAATGTTTTTAAGCCAATTATGTTATTTGCTAGACATTTAAAGGTTTAGACATCACTACATGATAATAAGAATGGATTAGAATTAATTTTTATGATAAATATCTTTTTTATAATTAAGAAATAAAATTATTTGAACTAATTGTTATTTGATCTCTACAAATAAATAAATATTTGTATATACCTGTTCAAATAAATAACATTAAAATATGAAACATGTGAGTCTTTCTCAAATTATGTGTTTCACGAAGGTAATATTTCAAGTTTATATTGTCACTAAATAAAGCAAGGCACGTTTCATCAGGAGGGGATACACACTTGGATAGAGGAAACATAAAATACTACGAAAGTGGGGACAACAAGCCAAATGTGGTGCATATTCACTACAATAAGAAAAGTCACTCATTATCTGCAAAATCATCGAGCAAGGCTAATTTTTTTAGGACATAACTGTTGGGTAAGAATGAGAATGAAACGGTCTAGAAGAGAGGGATTGGTTAGACCTCCTTAAAACATTAAACTGATTAAAAAATTGTTTATTTCAAAAGGATCAGAGTTTAAAAAGTTTTGTGCATTGGAAAATGTGCATACAAAATATATGTTTTTGGACAGAAAACACACATCACTCAATCAATATACAAAATTGAAAGTTGATGAAACAAGTAACCAAAGCAATCAATATTGTTTATTGAATTACAATCGTTTCACATGATTTGTGCAAACAAATAATTTTAATACAATGAGAATTCTAGAATTATTGTTTAAGGTTTAATTCACAACCATAATGCTTCGAAGTCCCAATCTAACAAAATCTACACTTATGAACAAAATTTCAATTAGTGAAATAAACCTAACCACATGCAATTCTATGAAATTGATAAACCTAAGCATGTAACTATACCGAAAATTAAAAAGATAGAGATAAAAAAGATGTCTCTAGGACTTATACTGGTTCAGTTCTTTCTTCCTTGCTTGAGCTTATTTTCGGCCTGGCTTGGCCTTTGTGAAGAAAAGAAAAACTTCAACTTTGTCTATAGGCTTCCACACAACTCTACAAAATTAATAATGGAGATAAAAACCTCCTTTTTTCCATTGGATTTGTCAACCCCAGCCACAACCATACATACAGTTGCAAACCCATGAAGTCTTGAAAGTAAACGTTAGTCACAATAACAATCCTCCTCGTAGATCTCACACCCTATTGTAAGAGCTATATCTAAATGAAAATGGATAATGAAATAGGTTGAAGATAAAAGATTTTGTTTGCAAACCTCAAAACAAGATTCATAACTCTTTTGAAAATTGAAAGAATAAATGTGTTGTGAATTATAAATCAAAAGTGGATGTGTATATTTTTCAACATTATCAAAGGGATTTTAGAAATATGATTTATATATATACTAGAGAGATCTAGCACAAAAGTGAGAGAAAAATGATGTTTAATTAGAGTCATAAGTAAGGAGTATGAGATGAGTCAAGAGATCAAATGATTATAATCCAGACCCAAGAACCAAGAAAACTTGACCATGTGATATCATTCAAACTTTATGTTATTGAATCATATGATTTGAGTCAAGAAAAAATCTGATTTAAATCACATACACATCTAAAAAATCCAAAAGATTCTAAGTGTGTTTGATCCGAGTCAAGCACTAAGTAATTTAAATCAAACCTCTTGGATTTGAGTCATGAACTATTGTGATTCAAATCAATCAAACAAATGCAAATCATATCTTTCATAAACGTGTTTGATTCGGGGCAGGAAATTTGTGGTTTGAATCATGACAACATAAAAACAATTCTTGGCTATTATGTAACTCTGATCTGAATCACGTAAGCTTGTGATTAGAATCACACTTCTAGAACCTTAATTTTTTTTATAAATATGAAGTGTCTTTTAGGATCAAAACTTGAAATGAATTGAACCATTTTCAAATGTGGTTTTTGATTTAAAACTTCGATAAATTAACTAGAAGCATATTGCTCAGACTATAATCAAACATTTTGATTTACGCATACGTAAAAAATATATTAAGAATTCAACCTTAATATGCGCAATCATGCAAAGAGACTCAATAACAATATAAGAAAAACCAAAAACAAAATGGCAAACAATAAAACATAATCCCTTAGGAGGCAGAGGCAACTTCAATAACATCATGACTAGTAACCTAGTATTCTCTATAAATATTGTACTATGTTTATTTCACTAAACATACACAATAAAAAAAAAATTATTTTCCCAGTTTATCCATTTATCTTTCTACTTTTCATTTTACTTATATATTTCTTAGTTTAATATCCAAATAAACCTAAATCCATACTTAATACTCTTTGAAAGATTTTAGGAACTCACACCTACGAAACATAGATCATTCTTCACTATAATAAGTCTCAAGGAATTAAGTTCTCTAGGAAACAACGATGTTTGGCGTGTAACTTGCATTATGGTATAAGTATATTCAACACTTGCATTAGGTATAAGTATATTCTTCACTATCATTACAAAGAGGTCTGGTTCTCATGTTCATGTAATGATTCTCTAGAAATTGTGGAATGTGATAATTGTTGTTAAATTGAAATGTTTAACCACATGATGATATCATTGAAATCTATCAATAATATTAATTTCTATGGTAGTAAATGCGCATGGGACAAACAACAATGGAAATAAAAATCAATGACTTAAGTAGAAAAACAACTTACAATTAGTGTAAACAAATCAATAGCACCCAAGAGGAAAATAAAAGATGAGAACATAAAGAACTCTTTTTATCCAATTTGATCAATATGATCTAATATGAGAGAGAGAGAGAGAGAGAGAGAGAGAGAGAGAGAGAGAGAGAGAGAGAGAGAGAGAGAGAGAGAGAGAGAGAGAGAGAGAGAGAGAGAGAGAGAGATGAGAGAGAGAGAGAGAGAGAGAGAGAGAGAGAGAGAGAGAAGAGAGAGAGAGAGAGAGAGAGAGAGAGAGAGAGAGAGAGAGAGAGAGAGAGAGAGGAGAGAG